AAGTGACCAGTCTCGCCACATTGGAAGCAAGCTCCACTAAGAAGTCTGCATACTTCCCGGTGCACTCTTCCACATGTCTCATACAATTCTTTCTCCAACTATTCTACCCGAGCTAGCAGCAACCGACCGGGACTATTTTGTTTCTGTGAAGTTACAGTAAAACCCTATTTTCTGTATCTCTCAAACTTGAGCCCTTGTCTTTCTTAACATAATGGGGAGTTGAAGGCATTCCAACCCTTTCTGTAAACTATGTTCCGCTGCTAATGTCTCCTCTTGAGCTCTCTCGATAACTTTGGCTTGGTTAATAACATCTTGCAAGTTAGACAAACTCAAAGTCAACATCATTTCTTTTAATTTTGGCCTCAACCCCTCAATAAACTAATCGTGTTGGGCCTTGTCATTTGGAACCATCTCCATAGCAAAATGGCTTAACTTATTATACTCAGCCTCGTACTCATATACTGCTTGATCACCTTGTTTCAAATTTAGGAACTTTAACAGCATTGCCCATTTGAACTGTTCACTCATATACTTGTTCTTGAATTTTTCCAGGAAGAACTGCCAGTTCACTTGCTCCGGTGGTGCATATACCGTAGTATTTGACCACCAAACTCGAGCTGATCCTCTAAGAAAAGATACAAATCCATCAAACTTTTCTATATCCGAACAGTGAAGACTTTCGAGCATTATTATAACATCATTCAACCATAAGTCGGCCTCCAAAGGGCTTTCACCCTCTTCTCCCCAAAACTCTAGAGCTCCCAAGCTCTTCAGCTCTTTTGGAATCAACATTCTCGGTGCTAGAGGAGCAGGGGGAGGCAGAAGAGGTTGAAAACGGGTCAATATAGCATCGAGAGATTGCATAAAAGCTCTATACTCTAGTATCAACATCCCTTGATGTGCAAGCGCACTAGTATTTTCAGATGAGACCGGCTGATCACTATTATCCTCATAACTTTCACTACCAGTTACTTCTCTCATCTCTTGTTCCCCCGCTCTACGTGAGTTAGATGATTCTGACATCTATTAGAACATACATAGTAATAACATTTCAATTAGTAAGGAGTGTCATCAATTACACTTTAATGACACCATATCAGTAACCTTGATAATCTTAATGGCATGTAATCCCCTTATTTTCATTTCAATTGAACTACGTTTAAGCCGAGAATCGACTAAACCTGTAGCTCTGATACCAATAAATGTAACACCCATATCCCGTATACCTCTTCGTACACGAGATACAGAGGTTACATCACTTTATAAAACTTTTTGTCATTTGAAAACCCGTAAAATTTTGTTTCAATTTGAACAACTACAAAAATATGATATTCATAGAAGCAACATACTAAAACTATCACTTAAGTACATTACAAAATATTTACTATAGTTTAATTACATGCTAACTAAGTTCTCAAAATGAATAAGATTGTCATAATGTTACTGATGAGTCAACCTTTAATTGATTAACGCTGCTGCAACTGCTGCACTCCTTACGCAACTAATCTTTGCCTTTACCTACGCCTGAAATCAACACATGTTAAGTATTTACTTAGTGAGACATAATACTGTAAAAATATTACAATTATACGACATTATCATATGAATACTGAATGAAGAATTTAATTGCATCATTCCTATGGACCAGTTAAGCCTTTCTCAATTAAACCATAATTCTTTCATACCATCATGGAAATTATATCTAGTATGCCCATCATACCTATCCTTCTGTATTTTTTCCCCATTATTCTTTATTTGCCCTGTGTACATTAAATGTGAAAGTACTATACATGTAAGGTGCCAAATGATCATTTATCTTTTATAATCATTTTGACAACACCTTAAATACTGTTAATACACCGTTTTGTATTTTCATTTGGGCATCCTTTCATGCCCATTATGTTTTGTTTAATTTTTCCTTTATAATATCCTTTCATACTAGTTATGCATTGTTGTACATTATATATATATATACACCACCCTTTATATCACTTATGCACCATTCCTATCACAATACATTATAATTCTTTTATTCTTTTACCCAAAGGTATTTAGCCTTTCATCTAACTTGCATATTTAACACTTTTATGTCAAATGCATAACTAGTCCATTATTCTTTTACTCAACAGTGTTTAACAATTCATCTTTTACTCAACGGTATTTAACCATTCATCTAACTAGCATAATTGAAACCTTTTTACCAAATGCACAGCTAGGCCATTATTCTTTTACTCAACTGTATTTAACCGTTCATCTAACTTCCATAATTGACACCTTTTGTCAAATGCATAACTAGGCCATTATTATTTTACTCAATGGTATTTAACCATTCATCTAACTAGCATAATTGACACATTTATGCCAAATGCACAGCTAGGGCATTATTCTTTTACTCTAACGGTATTTAACCGTTCATCTAACTGCATAATTGACACCTTTCTGGCAAATGCACAGTTAGACCATTATTCTTTTACTCAACGATATTAAACCATTCATCTAACTGGCATAATTGACACATTTCTATCAAATGCATAATTAGGCCTCAAAGGCACTTAGCCTTTCATCTAACTGGCATAAATGACACCTTTATGTCAAATGCACAGTTAGGCCTCAAGGCACTTAGCCTTTCATCTAATTGGCATAAATGACACCTTTCTATCAAATGCACAGTTAGGCCTCAAAGGCACTTAGCCTTTCATATAACTGGCATAAATGACACCTTTTTGTCAAATGCATAGTTAGGCCTCAAAGGCACTTAGCCTTTCACCTAACTGGCATAAATGACACCTTTCTGTCAACTGCACATTTAGGCCTATTAATCTTTTATTTTAGACCAGATTCTACTATAATAATCATTCATAATATCAGTTAACCATTTCAATCATTATACATTCAATGGTTTATTCCTATAGTGCCCATGCAATAATCTCAAAATTTTACTATAATTTACATGGATTACTCACCCACTACCAATACGACAATTCACCTTTTATGAACTTTTGACAATTTTACATATATTTCCCAAACGAAAATTCATACACTTGGTATGAATTTCTTAGTTCGCACACATAATGCCCATAAGGAAATTCATACACTTAGTATGAATTTCTTAGTTTTGCACACAAGGTGCCCATACAGAAATTCATACACATAGTAAGAATTTCTTAAGTATTTGCACACGTAGTGCCATTTGGTAATCACCATACTTACATTAATAAATCATACAACTATGACTACCTTAACATATACATACATAATTAAATGTACTCACTTGGATTGCCTCGCTATTATATCCAAAATGCAAAGTTGATTACTCAGGTACTTTGCCTTTGTCTTTAGTTTTGCTTGACTCGGGAGCTTGATTTCGATCTTTAGCTATGGAGGAGAGCTTTTCCACGGAAGAGAAAGAAGTAAAAGAGGATAACTTTTGGTAACCTATTTTCCCTTTCCCCCGTTACTTAATATCTTATTAAAGTAAATTTTAATTTTTTCCCTTTAAAGGACCAAAATGCCCTCATAATCATCCATTGCTACAATTTAGTCTAGACCATTATTTCAAATCATTCTCAACTTTTATCAATTTGTTAAATAAATCCTCAAATTTTAAATTCTTTCAATAAATTCTCTTATTCAATAATTGGGGTATTAAACCCCAATACATTTTTACACATTGTGCAAAGGAATCTCCATCTTGATCGATTAAATTTAGCTTTGCCATCATCTTCTTATCTAGGTCTGCCATTGATATGTTTAAACCAGTCCCACTTCATTTAAGCTAAACTAAAGGAACAAACAAACAAAGTTGTTGCAGAAACATACACCATGAGAGATGGTAATAAATAAAAGAGAGATGGGTTTTACAAGGCAAGAGTGGATTGAAGCCATGGAGAGGGCTTTGAGGTGTTGTGATGAGTATCAAACCACCACCACCGTCGTGAAGTTCCCATCTCCTTGCACATCCTGAAACTGAAGTGTCCCTGTTTTATTACCGAGTCGGGACTCAACGAGACACCCTACTAATTATGGGTAGCGTACGCACGCACGCGGGCTTATGATTAGAAAATTTTCGCTTATTGTGAAGCTTAAAAATGTCGATTCGGTGAATTACGGCCCAATTTGTTTTCTAATGTTTTAGGCCTTTAGCCTTTCTTGGGCTTTTTAATAAGAATATCCTCAATAATTTTGATAATATTTCTCTCTCTTCTTTTATAGATGAATGTCTACCATAAGATCGTGTATATGATTATGACAATTTATCTCATAGTAAGTATGTGGATATGATTAAGATAGTTCGTTTGAAATTTTGTTATAAATTAAGCGATTTTAATGATTAAATAAATGATTGTTATCTTTAGAAGTTTTGTATTCAAACACATCGTCTGTAAAAATATTTGAAAGTTCATTTTCAAATAATTATTGTTTTAAATAAATATCACCTTATAATTATCTTTTATTAATAAAAAAAGAAATTTTGAGAGTGATATGATAATTAAAGTTTAAATTTGATGTACAAGAATAAGAATTACAATTAGGAGAAAAGGAAACCTTTTGTTGTCCTACGCAAGAAAATAAATATGATACAAGTCCCCATGATGATGGGTTATTATAAAGTGATTATAAGACACAGAGGATGTAATAGGGTAGGATTTCTTTTATGGGGGAGAATAAGCATTCTTTTTAACTTCATTGTTACCTCTTACATGAATTCTAAAATGCATTCTGCTCAACAATACGGAAGTATTAGAATTCTTTGTATAGATGGCGAAAGGTTATTTGCTCCAACATCATCTCTATCACTCCTTTTCTTCTTTGAAATGCATTCTATTTTTCTGTACAAATAACCTTCTTTTATTTATAGACCATGTTATCTATTTTTTTAAATAGAGTATTTATGTCCTACAAATATTTATACGGATATAAAACTATGATTATTATCTAGAGCATAGTTAACAGTCATCTTCAAAACCGGATAAGAGGATGGTAATAGGAAGTTGAGTAATCATACTGACAAGGTATCCATTATACTGATCAAAACCATTTCAAAAGCAAAAACTAATTGAGAATAAATGTGAAAAGGTAACATCTTTTGTCAACCGTTAGGTAAAATGCTTATGGATTAAAGAATAACACACCCGCATGAATTCAGCTTCTGCATATCCTCCTTGCTCTTTTCTGCAGTCCACCAAAATTCATTATCAATAGAAATTATAAAGAAAATATCTAACTTATTTGAGAATTGAAATTTTCAGGGGTGACCACCCCCATCCTTGGACTAAACCAAGTATTATTTGGATGTTTTACTTTTCAAAAGCATGTACTAAGTATCATGAACAGAATTTCAAATCGCGGTCGCGGCCGCGTTTTCGGTTATTTCGGATTTACCGTGATTGCGGCCGTCGCGGGCGCTATTGTGGCTGTTGCGGACGCTATTGCAGCCGTCGCGGGTAACTCGGACAGCGGCGAAACTGCTATATCGCGGCCGAAATCGAGGTCGCGGATCGTTTTTTAAAACCCTGATCATGAACACTAAGTATCATGAACACAACTAAAAGTTTAAGGTAATCTGTATTTTTTTCCTTTTGGGTGGGGGGTTTTGCAAACAGATTTATATGCCAAAAATATTTTTTTCAAAAAAGATAACTTCATAAACCTGTCTTGTTTTTTTCAAGGTAGATAACTTGCAAACCTGTCTTATTTTTTCCTTTAGCTGGCTGTACTACCACGTGCATTATGATAAAACCAACAGGAAGATCCCCAATTGTTATCTTGGAATCAGCGAGAGTTTTGTTGTTTTCCAGAACTCTACCACCATGTATAAGTTTCAAATCTTTTATTGATTTTGGTGCTATTGTTTTGTCTGAAATAACACGAAGTCTCCATTAACTCAGACAGCTGTTGCCGGGGAGGAGCATCATCCAATACATTTAAATTGCAATTCAATCATTATAAAATACATAAACAAGACACATTCTCATACATGAGTTCATAGACATTGGCCAACACCAGCCTTCTTCCTCAAGCTGAATGGTATCATCAAAATGAAATTTGAGGTTTATTTTGTCTACACATATAAACATAGTGGCAAAATCTCTGTCATTCAAATGAGCGTGGGCAATACCGAAATTTGTTTTTAAATACACCATACAAGCAATGTTCATCACTGAATTGATACTCATCAATGACAGGGTCAGCAACAGACAAGATAGAAAATCAACCGAAAGCAAAGGCCTGAAATACCGAATTCGTACTTAAAAAAAATCAAACCGAGCACCTAAGATGTTAATCCAATTATACAGTTGTGCAAGGAGTAATTTTAGAGGAAACATGAGAACAGAGATAGATTTATAACCTCGGGGCCACTCCGCAACAATCTTTAGCTTAAGATTTGCAACAGTCATAGATGACGCATAAGTGCTGTGTGCTATATCTGTCCCATCATAAATGCGGAACTTAAGCTCAATAAGCTCCTCACCCATCTTTTTTCTCTGTTTCTATGCTTGATGAACAATTTCAGTCCCAGAATTCAGTCTCTCTTCAGTCACCTGAACAAAGAACAATAAATTCTCCACATCTAAAACTCAACATTATAAACATAACATTGCTGAAAAGTTAAATTACGCAGGCGCACACAGTATTAATACATTGTCAATCATATCAGCTACAAAGCATAAAATGCGCAATTTATTATCATCCTCTTTTACTACTGTTTTCCATACTCGGTAAAGAAACATGAACTCTAATACGAATTGCATTATATCAAACAAACCTCAGCAAAATGCTCTAAGAAATTTGTTTGGTAAAAGTGCATTCAGATCAGCCGCCTGAGAGTGAGAACCTCCACAAAAGAATGAAAACTTCATATGATCTGACTGGTATTCGGTAAGATTCCTTGTTACTAGCTCTTAACCAGTGTTCCTTCAACAAAACGCAAAACTCAAATTCAAGAACCAGACATATAAAGAGAGCAGAAACAACCACAATTAATAATAATATTGTTTAAGATCTCGATATTCCATTCTGATTGGAGAAGAAAACTACAATCGATCAACAATAATATTTCTATGAAATTACCTAATTAACGAACAGGAAAAAAGAATCAGAAAAGAAATGTAATTAAAACCTTAGATTTCAGGTTCCCGGTTCCTCTCCTTTTTCCCCCATCAAATTCGTAAAACGATAAATGGAATCTCAAAAAACATCGTTTCTTTCTCCAATTCTTTTCGTTTTCTTTTTGATCTATTTTTCTCACCAACCAAACGAGTCAAGGAAAACGCTAGAAAACAGAAAAAGATAAAACAAAAAAGAAAAAAAAAATAAGATGAAATAGCTAACCAAGAAGCCATTGACGGAAAGACAGTGTGTGTGATAAGAGAGTGGAATGAAGCAAAAAGCCTTTGTCTGGCCACTGTGATAAATCTCTGTGATGGATCGAAATTGATAAAAATGGTGGATCCAATACAGAGCCAAATTTATACTCGAGCTACGGTTTTACACGCTGAGGGCACAACCAAAATGAAGCTGCTGAATTTCCAATTGTTTGCTTTCCACGTCAAATCAAAGAGTTGCTCGAATGACTAAATTAACCTTACTCTTCACTTGGCGCTACGTAATTGGCTACTTCTATAACTAAAGGTCGTTACTAAGAAATAGAGAAAAAGAAGGTGGTCGTTACTGTTAGTTATTTCCCCTTAAGACCTGAAACTTTTTCAACTACCTTTTCTTTCCTTTTTATGGTTTTTTAAGGTTTTTATGAGAAAAAAAGTATATTACCTATTTGTTTTCACTTAGGTCCTGTTATGTAATATTGTTCAAAAATATTTTTACCTCAAGTAAAAAATATGATTATGAAAAAAAGTAAATAATTATAAATAAATAATTTTTTACCGAAGGTTAAAAAATTAGTAAAATATAAATATCAATGCATCAAAGGGTATTGCGTTACATATATTGTTGAGGGATTTCTCGATTGTTACTTTTTTTATAGAAAGGGTAAAATACATAAATGAACACCCAACAATGGGTTTGGTCTCGAAATGACCAATATTTTTAAATTTGCGTCAATATGACCACTAAACTATTTAAATGGTTTCAATATAGCCACCTGCCGTTAACATTTAACGGAAATGTTTACATGGCATTTAAAAAATTGGTATAATTAGGGCTCGGGTCCTTGTAAAGTTACGTATTAGAGGCGCTGGAACCATGCTTTGTTTCCCCATTTTGGTCACTACTCGTATATGATTTGTTTCCTTGAATTTTCATTTAATGCAGTTTGATTCTGTATTTAATTTGTCTAATGCCTTAATTTGATATTAACTTTAAAATCTTTTATTCTAGCTATGTAATAAATTTATAGATTAAATCCACTAGAATTTATAATTAATTGCTGAGCCAATTCTCACACTTGTTATCAAGATAATACATACGTTATATAACTTGTTTAGGTTTAGGTAGAAAAATAAAACTAGAATAACTTAATTGCATTTGAACCCAAATCAGTTAGTAACCAAACAAAGCCTTAACCAATAGTTAAATATAATATTTAGAAATCAATTAAAATATTTTTTATATATTATATATTATAATTAATGATAGAAATAAAAAAAGACAAGCACAATTTAAAATCAAAAGATAAATTTATAATTTGAATCTTAAGTATTTTTTAGTATATAATCATTAAAAAATAAATATGAAAACAATAAATTTAGTTTAAAAAAATTGAAATCTTAAATCAATTATAAATAAACTATTATATTTATTTTAAAAGATTTAAGTGTTGTCATATTCTCAATTGGCCTAGATGTAAGTTCCCACTTATCCGATTTTATTTTTTTATCATTAACTAGAATATATATATATATAATATTAAATTCACGTGTCACCTTTTGATTGGATTAAAAATTATTAATTAAATTAAAATTAAAAATCCTTCTAATAAGATTGTGACATGTGTCACAATCTGATTGGAGAAATAAACTTATTAAATTAAATTAAAATTAGGACCTAACTAAAATTAAGTGTTGGCTCGAAATGATCAACCGAAAACCGCCAAGAGGGGGTGAATTGGCCTTTAAAAATCTTTGGTGCAATAAAAGATAGAAAATTTGATACAATGATTTATAGTGGTTCAACTTCTCAACAAAGTCTACATTCACTACCTTAGACCCACACTAAGGATTTTCTAAAAAATTCACTAATTTGCTCTTACTTTCAAGGACAAGGTGACCTTTACAACCCTCTAGTTTTTCTAAGGTTAAACTAGAACTACTCTCCTTTTACTAGGTTTGATTTGGGTAAACAAGAATAACTCACTAGGTAGGTGTTTACAAATATTTAAGCTCACAGAGAATGAATGAAAAAAATATTCAATAAGGCTCAATACACTATATACAAGAGAAAATGAAAAATAAGAATGAAAAACTCTTTTCTCTTCATATGTAAGCATGGATAGGTGTAGTAACCTTCTTCAAGTGTCGTTGGAGTGTTTTTATTGTGTGGAATGAATTGCTAGTCGTTTATGACGGTTGGAGATGAGTTATAGCAGTTGGAAAGCTTTTAAAACATGCAATAAAGGCCAACTGCACACGCAGTTTCGAAACTTTGAAGAACAAAACTTTTGAGAAAATTTCAAAACTTTTTGAAAGTATGAATCTTTTTGAACACATTGTTCTTGAAAGTTTTGAAACTTTGATCTTGAAAGTTTTGAAACTTTGATGAAAGTTTTGAAACTTTGATGAGTGAAACTCTTACTTAAAAAAATATGACCGTTGAAGAAAATCGGGCTGTTAAAACAGTTTTTGGGTGCAAAGTTTCGAGACTTTTGTAAAGTTTTTTTAAAACTCTTAATAAAAGTTTCAGAACTTTTACAAAGTTTCCAAATTATGAACAATACCCGTGTATAAACAGTGTCAAATAGTAACTGAATAGTGTGTTTCATATTTAAAAAGTTTTAAACACATTTTAAACATATTTTAATTAACTCAAAAATATTTCATATATATAAAGCAATTAAGAACACATATTTTTCAAGTTATTTTGGACTTTGAATTATTTTTGAAATATTTGATTAAGTCCAAAATCAATTTTACAAATATTTGTTATATCAAAATATAAGTTCAATATTAAGAATTAAAGTTAATCTTTGTGATCAAATAGATTAATTCTAAAATATAGGGGATTTAATTTATAACTTTAATACATGACTAGAATAAAAGATTTAAAGTTAATGCTCAAACTAAGGCATTAGAAAAATTAAAAACAGAATCAGGATCAAATTGCATTAGATGAAAATCCAAGAAAACAACAATACAAGCAGTGACCAAAATGGAAGAAAACAAAGCATGATTCTAGTGCCGACAATACGTAACTTTACAAGGACCTACACCCTAATTATACCAATTTTGTTAACTACCACGTAAACACTTCCGTTAAATGTTAACAGCATGTGGCTATATGATATGTCCGACAATAGCAAAGACCCGAAGAAGTACCCAAGTGGCCCCATCAGATGAGCAAGGGCTAAGGAGTTTCAAGCAGCCATAGAGAGTATGTTTACATCAAGTTTGGAACGTGATAAAGGAGTAATAATAAGGGAGGGACACTTTACGTTGCTTATGCATGAATTTGCATGAGAATTTGAAGTTTGCGTAACATTCATTGTATTTAATAAGTGTGTTGTTCATTCAAGCATGCATTGCATTTAAATCATCTAGTTCATTTAGGGAAGTAGTTCATTAATTAAACTAGTTCATTCATCAAACTAGTTCATTTATTAAATTAACTCTTAATTGTTTCATGCATGTTTTCAATTAAATATTGAATAAAGTTCACCTTTGTGTCTAGGTGCATGAGAGAAGTTGAACGGTTTAATCATATGGAAGGATGTCAGTCAAAATGTCTTTCAGTTCTGGATGCTTTTCAATGCCTTTTGATTCACTTTAATCCGATATAGGGAGCTTGAGATATGATCGATTTATTGATGACAGTGCAGGATGGAATTTTGTTACGGGAATTTTATGCATTGATGATTTGGATGAGTTTGAGCCAAGGGAGAGTCTTTTCAACTTCAGCCATGTGACAAGCCATTGAAGAACTCTTAATTCACCCATTCAAGGCATTCAAAGATGATTGTTATCGTCTAAATTCAAGGGTTGTTCATATTCTTCAAGGGAACATGCAATGAAGGGTTATTTAATTCACTTGTTAAGACAATTTTCAGCATGGAATAGCAATAGTCTTCCACCCCTTAGACAAAATTAAGGCCAAATTCAACTTCAAATTGTCTAGATTCATCCCCAAAATGATCTAGAATAATCAACCAACCTTGAAGATAAGAAGACAAAGCATTCAAGTACATTTTATTGCTAAATTGATGAGAATGTTTTCATATTTTGAGTCTTTTCATATGCTTCTTAGAAATACTATAAATAGGCATCTTTGGGATCATTTTTAGACACACATTTGAATATATAAAACATCTTTGAGAGGTTGCTTTCATTCTTGTTCTTTTGTAGAACTT